CCCCCCCCCTCACTCCACACACCTCACTCACTATCTTCATCTCTCTCTCCCACACTCTCTCAATCTCTCTAATCTCTCTATTACTCCATAATATCTCTCCCTAATCTCTCTCCCGCTTTAATTAAAAAAAATTATATATCTACTTAATTTTTAATATAAATTTTACCTAATCTCTCTTCCTCTCCCTAATCTCTCTTCCTCTCCCTAATCTCTCTTCCTTTTTGTTTTTTTTTTTTTTTTTGTTGTATATTATTTTTTAAATTCAAAATGTCGAGCTTTTTTTGTCGTGGCCGTGGTTCGAAGTCCGGGGCCTCCGGGGAAAAGCGGCAACGGCAAGGCGCATCGTCTTCGACACTTCCATTGCCCTCATTTGCGAGTCCAACGATACATGTAGATGTCCCGGGCGTGACCGACGATATAGATGTCGCCACAATCGATCGAATGTTCGATGTCGTTCAGCCTCCACCCTCAGTCCAACCGGCAACGGGTGTACACGAGGTGGACCCAGAGCGGCCGTACGAGGACCATCTCGACGATCTATTTGGAAGTACTCCTCCGGATGAGCAGCCACAACAACCCAAACAGCCGGTCCGAGTTGTCGGGGGCGGTAAAGTCAAAACTCGGGATTCCGTCATGTTCGACCGACATTACACGAAGGCTCCAAATGAAAAGAAAGGAGGTGATCCTTATTTTCTGGCTATTTGCAACTACTGTCCGGCCAATTCGAAGACGAAGTATAAGTTAAAAAAAGGCGACGGGTACGGAACGTTGACCCGACATTTGAAGAATGTTCATCCGACAGTAATGGGAATCGACACGGCACAGACGCAATTCCCAAGTAGCAGCGGAGCATCTGCCTCAGCCACTCAAGGTGCAGGTACGTCTTTTTCTTTATTTCATTACTCTCATGAAAATCATAGACGTCATTTAGCTGAATTTGTTTCTGCTTTGTCTCTTCCTTATAGTTTTGGTGATAGTGATTTATATGAAAATTTTGCTCAAATGGCTTTAAATCCGTCTGTCAACCGAGTTCCTCGTACCACCCTTACTCGCGATATTCGAAAAATCGTGAGTGAGAAGAAACTAATTTTAAAAGAAAATTTTAAATCTTTAAATCATAGAATATCCATTTGTGCTGATATATGGTCCGATCATTGGATAAATAATTTTTATTTAGGGATTACTTGTCATTGGGTTGACGATGGTTGGACTTTACAAAAACGTTTAATCGGTCATGTTGCATTTCATGAACGACACACTGCTTCTAATATTGCTCGTTTAATTTCAAAAATCTTAGATAAATATAGTATAGGTAAAAAAGTATTTTCAATTTCATTTGATAATGCGACTGCAAATACTGCATCTATACGTGAATTAAATGATGTTTGTACACCAATCTATGGGGGTAGATTTTTTCATATTCGTTGTATATGTCATGTTTTAAATTTGTGTGTTCAAGCTGGTTATCATGCTTTTAAGGATTCTGTGACGCCAATAAGGGAGGTCGTCAATTATTTGCATAAACGTCCCCAGGAAATGAAAGCATGGGGACGATTTTGTAAGAGTGTTGGAATTAAACCTAAAAAATTCCAGCCAGACGTGCCTACCCGGTGGAATTCAACATTTAAAATGTTGAATGTCACCGCTGATTATGCCGAGCATTTACAGGATTTTTTTAATGATCCAAACCGTAGGGATTGTGATGCTCGACTTTCGGTGAATGATTGGGCAAAATGTTCGCAACTTACAAATTTTTTAGAAACATTTCAAAACGCTACTAATATTCTTTCTGGTGTTTACTATCCTACTGCTCAACTTGTGGTCAGTCAATGTATAGCTATAATGTGGGGTTTTAAAGATATTTATGACTTAGAACCTTTTAAATATTCTGGTCTAGTAGAAGATATGTTACAAAAATGGCTAAAATATTATTACTATATTTCTGATACATTTTTAATTGCATGTCGGTTAGATCCTACAGTTCGTGAGCAAGGTTTGTTAAATCAACTTAATATGTACTATGATTATATGTATCAATTGCCACTGCCGAGTCGGGTCCCGACATACAGGGACAAACCTAACATACCGCAGCTCGTCGAGCAAGCAAAAAATTCGTTGTATGACATGTTCAGGGAAACAGCGACCGCACATGGAGAGTCTCCCAACACATTTGTTCGTAGCAGCGGCGCAAGCGGCAGCAGGTCTTCATCTTCGTACGGAGGGCAAAGCAGCAATACAAACTACGGAAACTTCAAAGTGTTTTGGGATTCATTAAATCCCTACAAAAATTCGGGCGGTCAAAGGGTGCAGGGGACTGGATACTATGAGCTGGATCACTACCTTACGTCGAATTTAGCCGTTACGATTGCACGTCCACCTCAACCGCCACTCAATTTCGATGTGTTAGATTGGTGGTCAAGAATGGAAGGAATTTTTCCTATTCCATGCATTATGGCCAAGGAGATCTTTGCTGTCCCAGCATCTACAGTCGCGGTTGAGCAAGCATTCAGTGAGGGCGGCTACATGCTAGATCCACGACGGTCGAGGATGACGCCTGATAATCTTCAAGCACAAATGTTACTGAGTGATTGGAAGAAGGCCGAACGAAGGATGCAAACTGCTATGCTCACTTCGAATGAGGAGGAGGACGACAACGACGATGCATCCGATTTTACGTCGTCGACAAGTGGAACCGGGGGGGACGTCGAAGACGAATACGAATATTAAAGGTATGCAGCCAAGGTATGTGATTTAGAAGAACTACGTGGACTTTGATTCCCAAATAAAGGTATACGTAGGCACCTTATTTAACATTATTAATTTCGATTATAATTTTTTGGCAACAAAATTTTTCATCGTACACGATATTCGAACTTAATAACTGTTAACTAAGCTCAAGTCCATTCCATTAATATTTTTTTTTCTTTACACTTATTCGACTTCATTTGACGTACAATTTAGCATTTCTAAACTACCTCAAGCTGTACTTCTCCGCCATACTCAATAAAATACAACACCGTTAACCGTTTGGTTCCAAGAATCGACGCCCAATCATTATTTTTGTTTCATTTTGAAATGATATAGACAAACAGACTCAAAAACTTATATTTTATAAGTATATACAAACTATTTATTCAAATAAACATTAATATACATTAAAATAACAAAAAAATAAAAAAAAATTAAAAAACCCGTAAACCCGCCGGGCCCGGCCCGAAACCGGCTCGACCCGCCGGGTTTGTGACCCGGCGGTTAAGGGCCGGTTCAGTGAACCGGCCCTTAGTTACAAGCGGGTCGGGCCCGGTTCACTACACGGTCAACCGCCGACCCGGCGGGCCGGGCCGAGTTACGACCCAGCCCGGAAAATGGACACGTCTACTCAAATGTAGTTGTAGTAAAGTACACTCTACATTAACTAATTTAGCACCTTTCTTCACTTTTAACTCTCCAATGCACAATGTTATCGCAAATGTAGTGATGATGTGGATATAATTAATGTGTACAATGTAGAGAAGAATGTGGTTCATCAACAATCTTTCACATTCTAATCAACCAATAAAGAGAAGAAAAAGAAATATTATTAGCATTTTCAAAGTATATAATTATTTAATTTATTTTCTTTCTTATTTATAGATTTTTTATTTTAACCAAGTAGACAATATTATATTTGATTACATTGTGCATTACAAATAATTTTTAAATTTAAAGTTGTGAACTTAAAAATTTTCTTACGTGGTTCACAATCCATCTAGTTTATTTTACATTTGTCAAAATTTATGTAATAACAACAATCATGCATTGAAGATGCTCTAATAGGAAGACAGTGAATGACAATTCACATAATGAAATTGTTGAACCATGACTGATTGGTGCAATCAAATGTAAGAGTGGTTTTAGAGCATAAAAACTCAAAAGCAAACAGAACTCCTGGAATAGTTGGGTACGGTATATACTCGGCCAATACAATTTAAAATACTTCTCCCTCTTACAGTGTACTGAAAATGTTATGATTTAAAGAATAACAATTACACGAATACAACAAGATTGATGTCGTCGAAAGGCATAATAGATACATAGCAGCTCTATTTCTTCTCTATTGAACCCACAAAATTCTTAGAAGCCTAAAGTTGCATTCTTCTCATTTATCTTTTTCATCTCAGAAGCCAAACAAACCTATCTGAATGATTAGCATTACGAAGCCTCGCTGACTAATTGACCTACACTTAACCCCGAGTCAAAAAATCATTAACTGCAAGACTTGCATCTCCATGCGACACGGCATCTTCAGGCTCTGGCATAAAAAGAGTTGATGCAGAGGCCTACAGGCACAAAGCAATACATCAAAGGTGGGAGAAAATCAACTTAGAAACCACTCAATCAGCTCATTCAAATATCATGCATAAACATTTGAAACTTTATTTCTTTATCACGAAACAGTAACACAAAAGGTGGATTAAAACCATACAGATAAAAGCATAACCACTCAAAAGGAGTACGGCATATATGTGCCATAGGGTTTCAAGAGTTTTTGACAAGACATTCTGAATTTATGAGCTACAAATGACATGCCCTTTCCTGGGAAAACTAAATATCTGCTCTTGTGAATGCATTCTGCCGTATCCTAATGACATAAGGTTGCAGATGCTAGTAAAAAAAACCAAAGACCCCAAAGGTTAACATAGTATATTTAATATTACTAAAGATATTTAATTGAAACAACTTTGATGCTTAGCTTAATTACAAAATATATAGTAGTATCTTGATATTACAGTATCCCCCTACAGTACTACTTAAAGTTGGTATTTGTGCCATCCGCAAAATAAATGTCTACGGCGAGGATATACCTAAAAACATACAATTGTAACTGTTCATTTTCTTTTTTAGTGATAAGACTAACTTTCAAGGGTAAGATTGGTATATTAAGAAAATCAATCAGCTATAAACAGAACAGAATCACAAAAGGCTCTGTGAAAGGAACATCAAACAGATTTCAATTCCGTCACAGAAATTACCTTTGCATCAAGTAATGTTTCTCCAGAGCTATCTAAAATTACACATGCACCATGAGCTTTTAACCAGTCCAGGCACTCCTCCATCCCATCCAGTTCTTTCTCTACATCTAGCTCAGTTGTAGGCAATGCATTAGTGAATCCTAGAATCTGGGAAAGATATGCCACAGGAACTGTAGGACGGTACGAACGAGCAATGCACTTCACAGCTGCGTATCGCATTTTTTCAACATAAAGATCTGCAACGGAAATGTGTAAACATTTATTTCCAAGTTGATGGACTAAAACATAGGTGATAAAAAATAGCTTGTATAGCTCACCCATAAGGAAGGTATTAAGATTAGGCGCCATCTTGTAAAGTCTAAAAAACATCACATAGTTCCCAGATGTAACAGCACTACGAACTGAAAGAGCATGCTTTATTGCTTTGTCCTTCTTAGCATCAGCTGGCAATCTGTAAAACAAAATAAGTCCAAATTACATAGATATGCACCATAGCCTCTAAAAACAACTGGTCATATGTGGACAAGCAACATTTCACTACATGAAAGCTACAACTTGTGCCACACGATTAGCAATTAAGTACGTACAAAACCATATAAAGATTCTGAAAGTTTCCAAAAACACAGCACAAAGTGACTGCTCCCGATCTAGTGTTAACCCATCCTCTTTCATCTTGAAAAACCATTCGATGGGGAAGCCATTCACAGTATCTTAATGAATTTTGATGGCCCAACAAGATGGGAAAACAGTCTACTTAAGTTAATCATGTAATAGGTGGCTGCATTATTTAGATAACTTAACAGAAGCCAAACAAATTAAAAGCATGCGGCTTATCCAAGCAGTACCAAACTAAATTAGTATCAACAAGTTACAACATATCCTCAAGCATACTGCTAAGTATTATTCTCCCACATGTATGACCAATCACTGTAAAATTTATTGTTCAGAAGGAGAGCTCGCAAAGGGGAACATTATTCTCGATCATCTCAACATTTTTCACAATATTTTTCTTCACACAACTCTAGGGAGATCTAATCATATAATGGGTCCAAGAAGAAAAGTTATTTTCTTCACACAACTAAAGGATACAGAAAGTTGTACGTCACTGATCAGCAGAAATATAAACTAAAGAAAAAAATATTTAATGAAAAGGTTATACATAATAAATATAGTGTCACACCCCAGATATTCATCTGACATACAGCCATTCTCACAACGAATATATTGGTTTCCAAAAGCTTTCAAAATCTTATAGCAGTAAACACTTTGGAGAAATCCACTGCAAGAGTTTTTAGGCAAACCCAAAAACGCGAGTAGACACCTGTTAAATCTCTCTCTCTCTCTCTCTCTCTCTCTCTCTCTCTCTCTCTCTCTCTC